TTGCTTCAAATTGCATATAAATTGACACGGTGACCGTTATCTAAGCAGTGAGTATGTAATCCTTTTCCTTGACTAGAATAGCTCTGATACACAAGGAGAGGAATGCTCGTCCCAACGATGTAAACATGATGCAAACAAGGCTCTGACAACAACACAGCCACTTCACAATCATTGTCGACAGTTATGACTCAGAGACACATTCTGACTTTAAGTAGTTAGTGCCGTAATAAATCCCCCCGCCCCCCATAACTTCAGGTCTCACTTAAGCAGCGCAAGACCAAGTTTCAGAATCTCTCACAGCTCATGTCCTCTGCCTCTTTTACAAAGATCTGTCAAGAAAAAACCCACCACTGACAAGCATATTCATCAATCTGCCTGTCTTCTCGTCAATCAGTCTACACCTTTACTAATCAAGGAGCACATTTCCACAAGTGAAAAAAACCTGTATGTATACGTTGGCGAATCATTTGAGATTAAACTTAAAAGCAACATCCTATGAGACAGATAAGGTCTTTCAGTGCATGAGGGGAAAGGCAATGAATCCATATCATCTTTGGAAAGAAACTAATCTTGTTAAAGTCTTCCCATATGCCTGTTCCATTGAGCGTCACATTATTAGATTGGGGAATTCAACTCTTTTAGCTTTTGAGTGGACAAAGTGCTGAACAATTTTTATCTTTCCCCGCTTGTGTTACCCAATATGACCTGACAGGAGAACTATCACCATACAAAGCATTGTGAGTGGGAAAATAGTAACCCAGAAACAACACTGCAAGCTAAGATAAATGGTTCACATGTAGTCCTGCACAAAGGATGAGAAAAGAGGACTAGACATCTAAGCTGACATATTATAGATATTTAAGACAAAGGAGGCAAAAGGGACAAAGCCTCACAGAAACAGGATTTATTCAGCCTCTCCAGAAAATGGTGGTTGCAGGCAATATGCACACATTACACTCTGGCATTGCAGAAACAATGTAAGTGTATATAGAAGAAGATTGCCAAATGGTCCCCTTTGTCAGTTTTTTTTGTCAGCAAAGATTTGTTTTATGAAATTGCAGTGAATTTTCAGGCTAGGTTCGGTTCAGTGGCAGACCTTACAGCAGAGGGTTACAGTCGTTTTTTTTCAGAGCAGTTGATCAGCTCTCTGGGCTCTTAAGCTTACTATTAAGAATCCAGCGCTGCTCTGATACCAATGGACTCGCTTCGTCTCACGAGAAAACAACGTCTGAGATAGATAGGCTGCACTTCAGCTCAGACTCCACACCACTTCTGCTGTCTCCTCTCAGACATGCACTTGTGCCACATGGAGACAAACAACTTGACAATTCAATTTGGGTATAAGATTATTTTTTTAAATATCCAAAAGAATATTCACATTTTTGTAGTGGTATGGAGAACAGAGTTAATTGGATGTGTGGTAATCTCAAAAGTTTAGTGCACGCTTAAAACAAACCCCAACTTTTTCCACCTTAGAGGCTTTCCACATAAAGTCAACTGGGTGGGCATGACCGCCTAAATCAACAATTCAAGAGTTAGTAAAAAATAAGTAATAGTAATCTAAAACAACAACACAGACCTACAGGGTCTCAGGAAAGCACTTGAGCTGGCACAGTAAGGCCATAGACTGTATAAAACATGGACACATACTCATTGACATCAGCCTGAAGAGGAGATCAAAAGTTCAACAATGGTGGCCACCATATTGGAATGCTCTCTCGACCTAACTTTTGATCACTTTTGATTGTGGAGAACCTTAAGCCTCCTGGCAATCAGCCACAGCTTGTCTACCTCTCAGTCAACTAAGCCACGCCCCTAATTATAAAAATGTATGAATAACTTTTAGCCTGAGTATCTATTTTAAAGTAGAATGAAAGGAAACATACTGTCTATTGATAAACAAATAACCTTTGATCCCAGGTTCTATTTTGAACCGTCCTACTGTACAATTGGGGAATTTTAATATGGGACCTATTAGGGATACTTTGGCGTTTGTAGCCAGCCACAAGTGGACACTTGTGGAACTGCAGTATTTTGCACTCACCATTGGCACATTTTTGAACACCAGCGTTTGCCGGTTGGGTTTGTCACAACTCAAGTCTAATTTTTTAAAGTGCTCTTTAAGATTACTCACCAATCCTCCATAGTTGAAGTGAAAAGGTTTATGGGCAGAAAAAAACACTGATTTTACCTGTCTTTATAACACTCTGTCCTGGATACGCTCTGATCCCAGAATCTCGTTGCTCTCATGGTCGGATTAGATGTAAAGGACAAATAAGAAAAAACAAAGGGGACCATCGTAAGAGGACCACTTTGTTATTATGGCATATTCATCTGATATTCATCTTTGCTATCTTTATTTGCATGAATGCAACATACAGACTACAGAGCAGTTTATCAAAGAAGACTTGCCAAATCAAGCTCAGATACACCCACACACACATACATACAGATACCCACACACAGAACTCACTGTTTACCTGAGAAGTCATGATGCTTACACAGTCTGAGTGAGTTGTAGCTCTGGAAAATCGCTCTGGGACTTGTCATTGAAAACTATCCAATTGTGAGTGTGTGTGTGTGGCCTCTCCCTGGAGAGAAAGCGAGCGCAACCTTCCACACTGTCTCCCCTAATATTCCTCCAGTCAGTCAGTGTGGGACAGTGTGTGAAAACCCAAACATGGGTTACATCATGACACAGCTCACAGCCACGGGGTGAAAAATCCCCCTGATGATCAGCTGTCCTCTTACTGAATACTTATTGTACATCATCTGGGCCTGTATTCATTATCCAGACCAAAATGATAGGACTGTTTCTATATCTTTATTTTGAACAAGTTCATTCAAAAATAAAGTACATAAATAATAAATGACAAAAGCAGAAACATTATGAAAATTAAAGCTAGTTTCTCAATGCAACTACCCCCACACAACCCCCTTAACTTCACACTGCATTGTGCAAAGTGAAAAACATGCATGGTCTGAGAGTTGCATGTGCAACATGTGTGTTATTAGACTTATATTGTATTATTACTATCTGTCTGTATAACTTTATAGTTACTTAATAGTTTTCTCTGTCATTAGGTTGTCAGGTGATTTTTGCAGAACCTAATTTTGAATAAACTCAAAAATAATTAGTGAACATGTCTCCAACCTTGTGTGGATATGTTTCTGCCTTAACTGAATCTCCTGGTTTCTCGTAACGAGTTAGAACAGAGCTTTCCAGAATGTTAGCTTAAGTAGAGTTGAATTTACAGTTTCAGTTTTCCAAGTTTTTAGTTCTCTCCTCTAAAGTAGGACCAAAAATGCATCATTTGGACAAGTTAAAACTCTTCTACTATTTTGAGATGCATGTTGTATGCAGGCTGTGCTTAACTCCTTAAAATGAGACGTGGAGACCATTATATTACACACATCAATCCAGTCTCTCCTTTCTTTAAGGTGATATAAATAAATGTGTAAACCAAATGGGGTATGACCCTATGAGATGAAATGCAGCACCAGAGAAAAAGACCCAGACACTGACTTTATGGACTTACAGTGACGGCCTTGGGGTCACTCTAGTGTGATATAGCCACAATTTATGTTTCCTAATTAGCTCAACTTTAAAACAGTCACTGGGAAAAGAGGGTCATTAAATAAATGAGTAATACAAGTTGTAGCTGAAGATTTGAGTTATCTTGCTTACAGCTTTGGGAAAAAAAATGTCTGAACTGAAGAAATGGTTGATGGTGGATGGAAGGACGGACGGATGGATTGACGGATGGATGGAAGGAAATTGGACCTTTTGTAACATTTTTGGGGTGCAGCAGAAACCGGCTTTATACATGTTACTACATTTCAAGTGCATATTGGGATACAATTATCTTTCAGTTGCTACTACAATTCGGTTATATCTACTGTACTAGGGGTTAACTGGACGTGGTGCATTATAGTTTTGGTGCATGGAGCAATTAAAAATTTGCAAATGCATTCCACACATTTCCCTAAAATAAAAGTTTATGAAAGATGAAAATATTCACAGAAGTTAATAGAAGTTGCCCAGCAGCTTGAAGCAGGGCAGTGGGAGGTTTGTTGGCTACTCTGTCTTTCTCTGCTACAATATGGTAATTAGTGTCTTGTGTCAATGTTTTGATAGTGTTCAGGCTTTGTAATTTTCCAATTTGTGGACTTCTAATTCTAGATGTCTTAAAGGGAAAGTCCTCCATGACCAATGGCTGTCAGACGATGACAATGTCAATCAGCATTTGCGTTCAATTGGATAGTTTTCCTGGTCTTCTGCTCATTGCAAATTCAATTGACAGTATAAGATAGTATTTACTTTCATTTGGCTCCGTATTGGCCTCTTCCCACTCCTCAGACGTATATTGGCTTCTGTAGTTGCTGTGCTCATGGATTAGTCACTAACTCTGTCTGCTGTTTGGTGTTAGTTGGGAATTGCGCAGTGGGTTTTCAAAGCTTTGTTACTGAAAACCCACAAGGTAATGTAAACCATAACAGTGAAAGTGCAGGCTGCAGAACAAACCAAAACTACAAACACAGTCATGTGATGCTCTGTAATGATTAATCCCATAAACACTTGGTCTCGTTGAGCAGATGGGGTTCACAGAGCCGTTAGCTTAATAACTGGTTCCTTCTGTCCACATTGCAAAGTGTCTTTACATTCACTGTCAGGAAAAGATAGATTATAAATACTTGCTGCTTTTACGTTAATGGCTTCATATAAAAACATGATTTTTACAGTTTACCTTTTATCATCCTGACTTTCTTGAGCAGCAAAAATTGAGACATTATTTAGGAAGGGAGACTCATTTTGTGAGGTAATATATTTTGATTTTTAATGTTCTATGTCTGTGTGTGTATTAACTTGTTTAAATCTTTATGAGCTGCAGTTATTATTCTGTCTCCTGAAATATCACAGATTATGGGCACCCAGGCTCACCCAACTTGTATTTACAGGTTTTTAGTGGAAAGCCCTCCCAGTCCGCAAATTCACTCACCTGTCTGATGGCGCACAGCAGCTTGCCGTAGCTGAACACGATCACCACAAATGGCACGATGAGGCAGAACACAAACAGGCAGATTATGTAAGAGATGTTATTCGCCGTCTTGGCCGACCAGTCAACCGAGCAGGTGGTCCCGGGGCCCTCGAGGCCGTAGCTGCTCCAGCCAAAGAGCGGTGGCATGGTCCAGATGAGGGAGTAGACCCATGACAGGGTGATGCCCAGGGAGATCTTACAGTAGTTGGACGAGTCCGCTTCAGTTGGGGTCATCATGGTGCTGTAGCGCTCATAAGAGAGGACAGCCAAGGAGATCAGGGAGACGATGCCTAGAGGAAGACAGGGTATATAAATATAGAGGTAACCATTAAATAGAGGAACACAGGGACAAAGCATATAGAAGGACTTAAATCCTGGGTTCACCATTGTCATTTGTGTTTATGTCATTATCACAAGATAACACAGTTGTTTACTGGTGATAATAGAATCACTTCCTGGTGGGCTAGAAAACAAAATAATAGTCCATGCCATGTGCCCATTGTAGGTAATGTAAGCCTATTTCAATGTATGTTTTGTGGTTGAGTTCTCATGGAAACAACTTGAAATTACTCATTATCTACTGGAGAAAGGGGAAAATAATATGTATGTATCCATGTCTGCTTAGAGCTTCCATAAAATCAAATATGCAATGTAACAGTGAAAACAGCATGTTCAGGTGTGTTGTTTCTTTTACACCCCAGTTATTGTACATCACATTTAATGGGGCAGTCACATGGAGACAAAAACATGCCGCCTGTCCAAATATTATCAACTCTAGGGAGGAAAACATCCACAGTCAATGTGATTTAAAGCTCCACAGCTCTCTTAAAAATCAAAAGTGCAGCTAAAAACAGCTTTATGGTTTACAGCGCTCAGAGGGAGGGCAGGTTCTGCCTTTAAAAAATAATTGGCAAAGTGAAAAGTGCAGCATAATAAAACTGTGCGGTTGTAGAATCAGCTAATATATAGCTCTCGTGCCAGGTCCTGCAGCAAGCAGATCCACACTGCTGCACATCAGTAACAGCAGCTCTACCTGTGGTGTCTCTGCAGTAAAAAGCAACACAAAGGAATCTTTCTTCTCCTACTTTAACCTCTTAAATACACACACACACACACACACACACTCTGTGCCAATATTTCTACCTTTTCCCGTCTCAGTATTTGAGGCAAAGCAGTAAGAGTTTGTAGCTCAGTGTTCAAGCTGACCCTTTAGCCTTTTTATCCTGTCCGGTATTTGTTTTTAAGCCATTATGATCCACGAAGCCATCCTTCATGCCCATTGATTTTCACTGGCAGTGAAGCGGACCTTTCCTCAATGCTTCTTCTTCTTAAAAGGCGGTCCAGACCTTTCACCAAGCTCCAAAAGCAGCAGGATGAATGAATTAAGGTAGAAAGTCGGGAGGGGGACAGTAGGAGGGAAAGCAAAGTTGGAGAAACACATTTAAGCTCAGTGATTGAGGATGATGTGTTTGTGTGTAAATACATGGGCTGAGCTGTATATACCTCTGCCTGCAGAGCCTCATTGGCACAGCAATGCATAATGCGCATCTGTTTCCCCCAGATTTAACGTGCATGTTGCTTTTCCTGCACTTTTTTATTGGCTGTGTAACTGCAATATTACAGAGTCAACAGAGATTTACAACAACCCACTTGTGCTTCTGTTTGATCGGGGCTCACGACTCATAGCAACCAATCCCAAACAGATTTCTGTTGTATTCTGACAAAAGAGGCTTTTAACACTGCTCATTACTAGCCTATCTCGTCCTGCCTGTCTTTTGTGTCTGTTGATTCAGTTCAACATCTGGTTAGGTTCAACTTAGGTAGGAGAAGTGATAACGTGTTAGACTGTGCACACTAATTTGATGAGCTTCAGAGGAACAAATCAAGAATGAGCTGATCATTTACAAACTGTTTACCAGTATTTACTGAAAGACTTGTAATCAAGAACCATAACCAATAACAAAGTTACGGCTTTAAAAGTAACTTTAGCATTACTTTTTTTTCCTCAGTTCCCCATATTAGTGTTCACATTATTTAGTGTTGCTGTGGCAGAATTGTGCTGTGACAACTCACAGATTTCAAATAGCACTGTAGTTGTTTTCAATATGAGGGTATTTAACCGTTTAGATCTCTGAAGGCCACAGACTCAAACATTCATATGAAGCACGTCGCCTGTCTATCAGTCTATAGTTCTGCTTACACATCATGGAGCAGACAGTGTTTAAATCAAGCCGGCTGTTTGTATGGAGTGTCTCCTCCTTGGTCTGCCGAGCTAACGTGAGCTGCACTTCCTGGGTTTTTCCGGAGTCTGCAGCACCCCAGGCTCTGTTTTGGCTTGTTGTTGTTTAGCTCGGTTCTTCGTGTGAGAAAAGTTTTCCTTCCTGCACATAGACTACAACTCACAGCTATATTCTTGTCGTTTAACTTGAGCAGAGGAAAATAATGTTGGTATTTCTGAGACAGAGAGCTGACAGCTGAATGATCTCCTGCCTGTTGTTTGTTTACTGCGCGCAACATTCTTTCTCCCACAAACATGGAGTTGTCATATGCCAAACTTGATGCTTCATTCACACAGTCGCGATACCGATGGGTGAGGTCAGAGTGCAAACGTCTATTGTTTTATTCAGTCTATGGTTTAAAGTTGTCAAAAGTCCAAAAGCAACACGTGTTCCCTTGAACTAAAATGTGACTGGAATGTATTTAATTTAAGTAAGCAACATAAAGATGTATCTTGCACACAGTTAAGGGCTCATTTTAATGCACAATTCTCAGGGCTAAGTCATTTACTTACAGCCAACAGCCTGGTTTGACTGTAAGAATGTAACTGAGAGCAAACATTTATTTAAGACAAATCCTATCTAATGGTTTTTGTCACACACGTAGGTTCCTAAAAACCTGAGTATGCTGCATGTCTGAATGCACACGGACACATTTTCAATCCCCACTTCATCAGGACTTTTTCCTGTGAGCCCCTATGGTAAAAGTATGGGTGAGCCAATGTGTGAATTGGAAAATTTACTGTGAGTGTGTGGGCGGGCAGGGTGATGATGTTTATAAGCGACCAGCGAGTGACTGGTACGACTTCATGCATGTAATGAAGCCGCTTCACACTCTTTTCTCCTCGCCAATAGTTCTTGTCCACTTATTTGCCGATACAGATAATATATCCAATTACAGAGAGCGTTGAACTGAAGGCAAAAAAAAACTGCTGTAATGGTGTCGGACTCAGCCCCTTTGTCTGCTAGCTTGGATTTTCTTTTTTATGTCATGTCTTGCCTCCTGAGACCCCATCCCCCCACCACGTCTCACAGGGAAAACTTTACACTATGAAGGACATGAGTGAATGAGCAACTAAAGAAGATTTCGGGGGAGGCTGTCCTGGCTTGTCTAGAAAACTGCATGTGTGAAACAGCGTAACTTGGGTTGTTGGGAGTCTGACCCGTACTTGATCCCCTTAACGATGATCCACTGATCCAATGAATCGAATTGGACCTGCATCCATTTGATGCTATGAGCAATACAATACACACTTAGATTATCTGATGGGTAAAATAACTTACAGGAGAAGCAACAAATAATACATGAAGACCCTGATTTTTGTTCTTCACAGTAACTTTTTACATGGCCTTTGATACCAAACTCTTTGTTGGGATCTTGTGTTATACAGTAGCACAACTTTGAGATGACAGACTAGTATTTAGGTTTGTGTCGTTGGCAAGGAGTTGGCTTTATGAGCTCAATCTTTTTATGTGAACAATCGCGGTCAGCTGCAATGACAAAAAAGCATCAGGGGGAGGGGGAATGATGATGTACAGAGCACAGACAGAGATGGGAGCTACATTTTGGCTGATTTAATTACAACCAAATGGTTCCATCTAAAGGGCATTTTGGGAGACTAAAGAGCTGGCTGTTATTCATGAACTGAGCCAAATGATCCAAATCACTAAAAAGAGCTGTAACTCCCAACACCACTTATTTTATGTAGTTTAAATGTCTCTAAAGCCTGTTAACCAGCTTGAAATGAAGAGCCAAATCAAATCATACTTTCTGAAAAGTGCTAAAGCGTGTAAGTAGCTCAACTTGAGATTCACACAGAGGCATCAAAATTAAACACAGACAGACATCATGTTGCTGAATAAGTTTGAAACTGTCTTCCCTTGGCCTCTAAAGAAATGCTGCAGTTTATTCTAAATATGACACCTTGATTAAACCACTTGATCTAAAAAGCTTGTTTTTTTCATGCAAATGTAATGTCACATTAATAAACATAAAAAATAACTTAATAACATCTAAAATCAAACTTCCCTCTACATCCATCTCCTTGTTCTCCGTCAGGATCAATGGCAGCAGTGGAATCTAATATTCCAAAATGAAACATCCTCTGATCTGATAATGTCTGTAATAAAACAAATCTGTGCGGCTGCTGTCAGTGTGACGCTCCCTCGCTGCAACTGCCTTATTTGTCTGTTAGAAGTGTCGGATTCAGTATCACCTGTCTGATACCATATCCAGGAAAAGGCCGTTTGAATGAAAAACACAAGACTGGATAAAGCTGTTTTTACTCCAAGAATCTGATCCTGGTGTTTTTTTCTTCTTCTCTCAGGTGCACAGATCTACAGCTACAGCACTAAGTAGGAACAAAAAGGAAAAGAACACCAAATTGCAGACGACAAAGAATGATTATTCACACTCAGAAGTGATGGATTGTGAATACTCCATTACTTAACTTAACATTAGTTTTTAGGTATTTGTATTTTATGTAGGTTTGTTTTTTTGTCAAACAACTTTGGACTATGGGACCCATTCATTACTCAATTACACGCATCATGTGTCCTCAGCCTAAGACCCCACTAACTAAAGACATACCAAAGACCAGAGTGCTCCGAGACCAAGACAAGACCGAGACATTTCTTGATCGAGTCAAGACCAAGGCAAGGCGAGGCCAAGACCAAGACCATAAATATCAATTAAAATCATCATCTTGCGTGCAGCAAGCATTTCACTCACCCAGACTGTAACACCGGGAAGGGTTTAGCAGACTTTTAAGCTTTTAGAAAGGAAAACAAACAAGGATTAGACCAAGACCAATTTCAAGTACTACAACACTACTTCTATTGATCCTCTTTTTTTTCTGTTGATCCTCTTTTTTTTTTTTGTTATCTTCACATTGCAATTCACCTCACAAGTCTTTGATGTGTGGAGTGGCTTTTCAATTCTGGTTACACAATGGTGCATTAGCTGGTTTATTTATGAATACCTAATACTACATTTTAAGCAGTATCTGAGGCTGGTTGTCCGTATTCACTTCTGCATCGTTTTTTAAACAAATATTGGTACTGTTACTTGAGTAAAGAGTGTGTTTACATTGCCACCTCTCTTCACACTCATATCAGACTCAAACCAGACACTCCTCAACTAGAATCTTTATTTTTCTGTCTGCTTTTAGACTCCCTTATTCACTATTTATTTCAGCAGCTCATTGGCTGTGTCTCTTTCTTTGACCTTTATGGCGGCGCAGTATTGTTCTGCTTTCTTTCCCCCTGCTGAGACTTTCTTCTGACCTAACACACAAATGAACACCACTCATATCAGGTGTAGCCTGTGTGATATAAATGTATACATCTATATCTTCCTTCATACATGTCCATCCATTTCTGTACCTTTCATGGTTGCTTGTGTGTGTGTGTGTGTGTGTGTGTGTGTGTGTGTGTGTGTGTGTGTGTGTGTGTGTGTGTGTGTGTGTGTGTGTGTGTGTGTGTGTGTGTGTGTGTGTGTGTGTGTGTGTGTGTGTGTGTGTGTGTGTGTGTGTGTGTGTGTGTGTGTGTGTGTGTGTGTGTGTGTGTGTGTGTGTGTGTGTGTGTGTGTGTGTGTGTGTGTCCCTCTCATCATCCTTCAAGGCATCACAGAGAAAACAAGTTCAGTAAAAAGAGAGGAAGACGCAAGGAGCTGGAGGTGGAATCAATGTGAGGGGGAGCAGGAATGCAGCATACTAACGCCAAGTTTACATTGTCTGTCGTCATTGACAGATGCTCTCTCTACTTTGAATAATTTGAAGGGATATTGATCATTCACAGGAGCTTTACAGAGATTTGGTGAAGACAGACACAGTCGCTTTGTCAAAGCTGAAAGCGACATTATTCATCTAAACAATCCATTTCACTTTTCCCCTCTCTGACCCTCCCTCACTCTTTCCTTGTCTCTGTTTTTACGAGGCCGTTGAGGAATCACTCTTCCATAACCAATGGAGTTCTAATGATGTCCGCGAGCCATCTCTCTCTCTCTCTCTCTCTCTCTCTCTCTCTCTCACACACACACACACACACTTCCTCTTCCTCTTCCTCCTCGCTCTGTTGTAGCTGGTAGAAGCCAAACTCTTGCCAGACAGAAATTTAATGAATTGGCTCCTCGTGGATGTCAGAGTTGCAAATCTTCACATGGTGCTTAATCTCAGCATAACACTTGTATTAGCGGGACAGTGGAGACAATCAGAGAACATCCACACACTCAAAAGCATCGCAGGCTTCATTTATCTACATTAGAGGACTGAAATGAAGGGCTCTTGTTTTAGAAATTGCTGACTTTGATCCTAAAGGAGATGCAAGGAATGTTAAGAAGTCTGTTTTCAATGTAGAAAAGTTTGGTGGATTCAAGAGGCTCTTAAGCGAAGCAAGATTCAATTTAGCAAAGTTAACCAAACTTTAGCAGTACATTTGGAAAAGTTTTAGGGTGGCCTGTTGACAAAAGTCTCGGAAGAAGGGAAGAGCCTCCTGGAATTCTGTGCTGCAGAAACCCCCGAATCATTGAGTGCAGCCTTTTTGGAAGAGCATTGGTGTTTAAAGCAGGAGGATTGCTGGGCACTCTGGAAGAGCTACTCTCAGCTTTCTTGAGAACCATTCAATGAACTTCACATTTCACTATGCACTCACTTTGAGTCCCATACACCCAGGTGTGAGTTGGACTGAAGTACATTTCTCGACGAATGTGAAGGAGAAGTCACTGATTTGTGGTTTTTGTGGTTTGAAGTTTTTGCTTTACCTTTACATTTTGACCAAATCTGTCTTTCTCACTCCGACCCCATTTACAACTGGTCATAAAAGTGGTATATATACTATATACCTTGAAAAGTTGTTTGGAAAATAAAGCCTACTGAGCCAAGACATATTAACATCATAATTGATTTTTGATCAAATCTGTGTGATCACACCTAGAGGTAGTTACATTGTACGTAGGTTTAAAGGCAATCCGTACAAAGCGTAAGCATCTCTATCTACGTCATCATTCTGCTTTAAACTCTGACTGTGGGTTTTTCATGAGAGAACAGAAATCAGATCTCAGTGGGGTAACAGAACACTTTAAAACACGTTATCTGTTTAACACATTTTAAAACCAGATGTCTGTCAGACAAAGTATATTAATGCATTCACAGAAACAGCTTTCAGACGCAGGCCTTCAGGACATTTGACATCTATCTTTGTAACATCTCAACAACTGACAGCATTCAGGCAAACTTAATAGGCCTGATGAAGCTACACTTTATAGAAATACCAAAAAAGAGGTTTCTCTTCCAGCTTGATACAGAGATCTTTTGTATCATATTTGAAGATGATTACATCATTTTTTAAAAATAAAAAAAGCAGGTTTGACAAAATTCACAACAGCGCGGTAATCATACGATGCAAATGATGGGGCTCATAATGACACACATTTCATAAGATACCATAAAAAGATGCAGAAGAGTTGAAGCTGCTACAAAGATACAAAGTACTTTTTCTCTCCTTCAGTCTGACTGTCACGCTCCTGAAAGGCAGTAGAGGGGTGGCTGTGGGCTTCAAACTGGCAGTAAGACACTGAAACTGCTGCTTCTGCTTTGCAAACGGCGTGTGAATATAGTATTGATGGGCAGTTGGACACTTCATGTAGCAGCCTCTGTCATTGGTGTGTGAATGCATAAATGTGACATGTAGTGTAATAAAGCATTTTGTGTGGTCAGAGGACTAGAAAAGTGCTACACAAGTCCATTAACATGTCTTTGTTCAAGACACCATTGTTACCTCACAATCCATCAATACTCTGCTGTCAGTTATGCAAAAACACAATCCCATAATTCAGAGGGCGGCACATGATCAACAATAAAACCAAATCAGCTACATTATTTGTCTCAGGTGATTTATGAACACGTATTTTTGATGCGCACCACCAATGTCACTATAAGGACGAGAAAGAAGCACTTCTGAGTTATTAAGCCACAACAGGAAATGTGAGCCCTGACTTTTTGGCAGTGAGATGGTAACATTACGAGTGGATATCTCAGCTTCTATTAAAGAAAGACATCAGGAGATTAGACGCAGTGAAGTGAGCGAGAAGGAGACCCTTTGTGCAAGATTTATGAGCCTTTTCACAAACTTCATCAGACTTAGCAGCTGACTGCATGGGGACGTACACCAGAGCGCTATGTGCAGGAGGGGTTTGGAGGTCTATATTCTCAGAAAGCTTTTAATATTTTATAAAACTATTTTTTTTTTCAATCCAGTAAAAAGCCATTCATATTGTTTGCATTATTTGAATTGGATGACCAATGAACTTTTGGAATTTGTTTTTTAAAGAAGCTGACCATGAATGAATGTAAGTGGTTCTATGATTAATTGATGAGGGCTGTATTGAAAAAAGTAATGAAAGCATCATCAATAATTCAAACATGACCAGAAGAGTGACAGTTATCGCCTTTATTTTGACAAATTGTAATACTTTATGCAATGAATTCTATATGATATGCGTATAGATAGACATTTCTCACAATTGTTCAGGCAAGGGTATTAGGTACTCTGCGGGCACCCGAGTCAGACAGCAAACAAAAATAAGCATTATAAAATATAAAATGCACGGTTTAACTACATCTCTTCTAATTTCTGTTCATTTTTTATACCAAAGATCTGCACAATTAATTTTAAGAGGCAGGTTTTAACTTGCAAATTTTCTTTGAAATATGCTCTTTGATTTGACAGCAAGGGACATGTTTAATATAGAGCAGAGTAATAACCATGTTCATGTCAAAGAGATGAGGAATTAGAGTTTTTACAACCCAATAACTCAAGCTGCTTGCTCTTCAGAGGCAGATGTGGATGGCTTTGAAGGCTTCGAGAGCAATTAGTGGGACTGATACAAAGAAAGCCTGTTCATGAAAGACCTTTAAATCAGACATTGGAAGAACAACTGATGACAGAAGAGCAATTTTGCGTCTTCTTTGAATTGATGTCAGACTGATTTCATCCAAATGACTTAAAGGCATACATTAGAGATTTTATTCATGTATTAATAAGGACATGTATTTGCTTTCTTAGTTTAATTCAATACTCCTTTGCAACTTTTCTACAGCCCTCATGGGGCATGCAGAGATGAACACTATAAGCTTGCTTTTGGCTCAGCCTGCAGCCTGGCCGGGCTCCAGGTGAGTGAGTAAGTGCCGTATCCTCAGTTGCATCATTGTGGCCCATTTGCATCAATTTGAGCGCTCCTAAGCAAAGCTAGACCAGCGTCCCCCAAACAGATTTCCCATGGGTGACTTTATTCTGCAACAAATGCTGGTGATGCATCTGCCACAGCCTGCTCGTGGAAACCTGGACGGTGTCCGCGTTGCACAGCCCCGCGCGGACCTGCTCCTCTTAATGAACAGTGATGATGCTTCCCTCGCCTCAGGCACAGAAACGACATCGTATGGTAACAAGCGTTTAACGACCACTTAATAGTAAGCTGCACACCTCTCTATTTCACTACATCGCTTGAGACTCCAACTGACGGTCCTATGTGACAGGTTTTCCGATTTTGTGATGCCATTTGAACAAATGACTCCATGTGGCTGCGCTAAGCACCAAACATAATCCCCTCAATACAGCGCTCCCATGTAAATTGCACATGCACATTTGGAGGTTATTTGACAGTGTGTTATACAGCCCCAGCTCAGGTAATGACTAAAAGTGCACCACACAAGACTGTTGCACAACTAATCACCTGGACATAACCTGAGCATCTACGTGTGATGTTACTCTTTGATTCATAACAACGGAACTCTTTCTGCGCTATATTATCTTGCATTTCCTTTTTTGACAATCAGCACTTTAGCCAACACATTGACGACCTTTGCAATAAGAGAGGCGGATGCAGGATGATGACACCCACAAATTTGAAATACAACAATTTGAGAGAAAGGAAATACCATGTCACTAAGTAGCTTTAAGAACTAAAGCACGCAAACATATGAAATATTGGCCGAATATACGTTCCTTTATCTTTGTATCTGGTGCATAAGCGATGCTTCTTGTAACACTTTCCTCACATAAGGTTTACGGTGATTTTCAGGCTTTTTCTTTAAAAGTTTTACATGAAAACAAAGATGCACCGTGCACATCACATCATACTCTAAGACAATCAAATAACCTTCTATTTTTAACAGTCAATTTCTACACTAAAAACGAAGCTCAACATCTAATCCAACAAGCGCAGTGCTTCAAACACACGAAGCATAGCCTACTGTACCACTACTGACTGACAACCAAATGTGGAAACAATATATCGAAGCACACGGATGGAACAAAAACACACAAACAAACCAAACGTAAAACCATCATATATTGGTGTCTACTCACCAAAGAGCGAGTTGGCGAATCCGTACCACACGCAGCCCGCCTCTCCTATGAGCCACCGTCCCTGCGTGCTGGCCGCGAAGCTGAACGGAGTCCCCAGTACGCACACCAGCAGGTCGCTGATGGAAATGTTAATCAGCAGCAGGTTGATGGGAGACCGCAGCATCTTGAAGCGGCAGAAGAGCACTAGCACCAGCAGGTTGTTCAGAAGTCCGAACGTGCCGATGAAGCCAAGGCACACAGCCACCACCACGTTCCCCGTCGGGGTAAGGGTGGTTCGGTACCCTTCCCCGGCTCCGGCACACAAAGCGCCGTTGACCCCCGCGCAGCCGCTAAGGCTCACGTTGGACACGATCATCGCAGTCCGGTGTCACGACGGTGGCACACTGGGCGGCCACGGTGCACTGAGCGGCGGCTAATGTGTCGTTGGCATCTGTTTTTTTTTTTTCTCTGTGTGTGGAAAAATATCATATAGATAAGTTGTGTCTGGTAGCCAGAAGCACTTGTTGCTGATGTAAAAAGAAATGACAAGTGTAAAAAAGTAGAGCCAAACAGAAATGAGGGATACTAAAAAAAAAAAAAAAAAGTTTGTTTGTTGAGAATGTCAAAACTTTGTGTCTCAGTTCAGGGGGAGGGGAGGTGTTGGAAAATTTAAAAAAAAAAGTTTGGTTGTTCTTTGCTCCACCGTGTGGCAGCCTGTAATGCTCACTCACACGCACTGTTTGCGGAGATGCTCCTGTCTCTCACAGAGACACCTTCCCTCTCTGCCCGGATTTAAATCGCTGTTGCCCGTTCTCGAGTAGCTGACGTCTGGGCGAAGTGGGGAGTTGGTGGGAGGAGGAGGAGGAGGAGGAGGGCGGAGCAGAGCAGCATGGAGATCATGAAGACGACCGTCGTATTGTTCAAAGACCTTACCGAGCTACAGTAAAGCCATCCCACTGTGCCCGGAGCTCTATTATAAAAGAGAAAATGGAAGAAAACAAGAAGGGGGGAAAAGTATACCTTCAAAGTTTGAGCTGTTCCTTCTCCCTCGTGCGTCTCCTCCAGCGTCCAATCAGCACTCTTTGAGGCGCGGTGCTGTCCGTGGTGCTGAATCTCTGGGGAGCGAGTCCTCGGCAGCGCCAGCTCCACGTTTCAACTGTTTATTTATATTATGTAGATTTAAACGAAAGCTTTGAAGATAATAAATTGATCTAAAAGAAAAATGGGTCTCGTATTAATTGATCATAACAAAACAAAATATGACCTGAGGATCATTTACGTTACAAATGTGATTAGGTGTAATTATAAAACATTAGATCATACACGTGTCTTATTATAAATTATAGGTTTAAGGAATTACTCCCTGAACTCACTTGCGTTCTTTGAGTTTCAAAACACCAGAGTTATAAAGTGTTTACACATCCATAGGGAGCACTTTGGCAGCTTTAACGCTGACAGCACTTTTGTAAGTAAGCAATACAGCTGACAACCGAAGGTAAACAATGAACAAAAAATGAAGCAAAGATAACATTTGGTGGAAGATTTAAAGAGGCTCAAACAATGATGTTTTTAGCTCTTATTTGACATGATCTCTCATACAGGTTAGGTCACAGTGTGGGGGCTCTGGCAGCAAACACACACAGAGTCACTTTCAGTTTGAAGTCATGACTTTGGAACAGACGACAGAGTTTTCCATGAGGATCTGCTGTGTGTTTAGAGTTGGAGGTTACAAGCCACAAAGGTAACTTAAAGTGATTGAATGTTTTAAAATTGATTCTAAAAGGCACCAGTAGCCAATGTAATGGGGCTAAAACAGGTGTACATGCTCCTATGTTACGGTCTCAGTGAATAGCTACAGCATTCTGTACGAGCTGGAGGCGATGGAGAGAACGCTGGAAACAGAGTCGTAATGATCTGGACAGGATATGATGAAGGCAGGAGTGATTTCAAAAAATGTGATCCTCAACAGACGTTTTGATACCATGTGTTTATCTCTTTAGTCATATTTCCAACCATAAGCTGCTCTGAGAGAACAGAAAGAGATGGAACACCGTCTTAATAGCACAAAAACTATGGCAACCATTCGTTGGACAGTTTGCAGAAGCTTTCCTTCAAATTTTGGTAATTCCGATAAAAATCTCATCCAACAATAGGACCCTGAGTATACTTGCTTTATATGTGAACAAGAGAGCATGACATCATCCTTGAGTATCCTGCGGTGGTTTGTTGCGTTGGTTGTACACGTCTTCCAAATGACCTTCTTCAGAGGATGGTTATTTTGTAACACTTTACAATAAGGTAAGCACATTTTGCATAGTTACTGGGGAACAAAAGCACATTTCATAATCACTGGTAAACGGGTGAATTTCCATCAAGTCTGCGATCATGTACTGATCTGGTCTTATCTTCTTTAAAAACTGCCATTTCCCTACATTTCAATGGTGTATTTTAGAAGAGAAATTGTCTTGTGATTTAACTTTCTAAGCCACAGCCACCACTGTGTATCAATGGAAGTAGCTAAACATTATGAGCAAGATGCTAGCATGCTAATCCTTAGAGCTAATATGCCTGAACAAGTAATCCAGTATGTATGGTAGCCTTATGATACACCTTGTTTTGGTTTGCTTTATAACAATACAGCACTTACTGTAGTGTAGAGACTTCAGTTTAATTTGCCAGCCCCCTCACCACCACGCTCTACAGCGGACACTGGCATGGTCCCCTTCTGCACTTGGCTAACAACAAATTGTTGCATTTCCACCACCCACTGCGAGGAATGTGCCAGCTGACAAATTTCACAAAAGGTGAATCTTTCCACCCATGCAAAAGACGAGCTCTGCAAGAAACTAAACATGTTGTTCTATTAGACCAGAACATGTTTAGCGGCCTCTTTTTGGTGTCAAGAGGGCATGACTCATGGCTGTCACATATTGTCAGAGAATGTGGCATTTAAGTTTTTTTCCACAGACAAAATCAATATATAACTACATTTTTCATTGTCTGATGATTTTCTGTATTTCATTTTGGTGGCTTCTATCTGTGAAAGTAAATCATAATTTCTGTCTATCAGCACTGCAAACATTCCCTCCAGAGACAGAGGCAGAGTCAGACTGGAATAATGAGGAGCAGCGAAATGCTAAAAACATGAGTGTCAGGGATCTAGCCATACAGAGTCCGTATACTCCACCAAAAGCAGAGAGAAGCAGCGCTCCTTGTTTGCAAACAGCACACCCTGTGCTACCTTTTAAGTCCAACTAGCATAATCTGGACCAGCTATCAGGTCCACTCATCTTTAGCTGCTTTACATGGCTGACAGATAAAGTGCTATCACATGGAGACACTTACATATTTTTGGGGAAAGAACAGCATGTTCTAGTTTTAATTAGGCAGTCTAAAATAAAGAATATGGTGTTCGGTTTTTAAAGTGACAGCGAGCAAATGAAAGCCGCTCTAATGACTTCCTGAGAGAGCAGTTTGCATCTGAAAACATAAAGCTCAGAAGTTCAAGTCTCTTGGATTGGTTCTGTTAGGTGTCAACTGCTGCCATGCAGCTCCAATTCAGTTTGGATGCCTTAAATGTGATCCATGCAAAAAAATAAGTCAAACACAAGTTCAAAATGTCAGCAATTAGTTGGTAATTAAAAGTTCATACTTGTGTGCTGGCATTTGGTTTAAAGCAGTGTCTTTAATTAGGTGGGTAAAAATGTGCCCTCTGCAACGCTTTGCAGGCTGATGGAAAGTTCCAGAATCAGTTTGGAAACTTTTTCTCCCCCTTCCCGGTCTGGTCTAATCCGTTCCCACTAAAATAGCCCCCTTGTCACATTGGAGTAAGGTAATTACCCATGAAAACTGTACAGTGACATTTACTCTGACATCCTCCACACAGAGAATCCTACCTGTAATTGGAATGAATTAAGACACTTGGGTTCTATTGTGAATATCACCCCCATTTAATCATCTCAGTGGGACCGGGCAGTTGGTATTTAAGAGGATTTCTAGGTCAACTCTGGCTACACTCTGGGGAGATGTTCAGGAATATAAACTACAAACGGGGTTAGAAGGTCAACATACTAATCCATGTTTTATGTAACTCAAAGAAACGGGACCCCTCTCTTGTGATTATACCATGTATTTGATAATTTATGGACCATTATTAGCATACTTATTCTGTCTCCTTCTTCACCCTCTTAACCCCAATATGAAAAAGGCATTTTGCACTAAATGCATTAGAGCTGTTGTTTTCTACAACCAGACAGCATTTATTTAATCAAATGCCGTGGAATTGTCTTGATTTGTTCTTGTTTAGTTTACATTTTCTTAATTTCAGAGTTTAGAATTCATTTCCTGTTTTTTTTTTAATATGTTGTTCCCTCATGTTGCTTTTATTCCTGCATATTTTTCTTTTCTTATTCCTGGTTTAAGTTTCTAGTGTTCCCTTCATTTCGTCATGTGTATCCTTGTGTTTATTTACCCTGTGAGTACCTAATATTTTCTTTACTGTTACCTGTTTTATTTTGTAGTTCTTGTCCTTGGTGTTTCTTGTCTCATCATTTATTTGGGATAAGCAGCTTTGACCTTATTCTTTTTTAATGTTGTCTAAATCTAGCTAACTCGTGCTGGTTTTTCTAACCCAAACACAGCTTTTCATGAACAATTTTCCCCCATTAATCTCTACTTGTTTTAGCACCTGTTGTCAGTCACTTCCTATGGGCTTGTTTCATTCTACACAAAACATCAGTGCCACATATCCTGCCAGCATGTTCACAGAGAGATCAAAGATAAAAATGAAACCTTGTTTTTTGTAGTTATGTAATTTATTGTGTTTTCCCGCAGCTTAGTCTTTAATTACAATTCATGGTTTGAAGACAATATAACATGTCAGCCACAGAATGGGCTTCATATTTAATTTTGGAATCATTACATTTGTGTTGAGGAAACTATTTTTGTTGATGAATTTTTATTTAACTTAGCTTTTTTAGTTTTGTGAAGCATTGAAGTTATGGGACATTGTCCCTTTAAGTGACAGGCGAATCCTATTGGCTGTCTGTTCAAAATATCTAATCTAGTCACTGAACCTAACATCTTGACCATGTTTGTGTTGTTGGTTGAATAACATGGCTTTGATTTATGGCACTAACCCTTGATTAAGTCTAGGCCAAGCGACAGCCTCCGAGAGAAAATGAAGCCAATCATAACTGCAGTTCTTCCAGAGTCCACTTGAGGCTGGCTGCAAAAGACATGGAAGTCCCATACACACCCCATATAAGACCAGTTTGACAGCAGAAATAAAAATGTTCACAGCCTGGTATACACTGGGTTTCTTTTTATAACTCACCCATTTGATTTTATGAAGGATACAAATTTTGCAAAATCCGGGTTGTGACCGATCTAACTGCAAGTGGTTGCGT